AGTTCTTTCAGGAATTACTGAAATTCTTTCAGGTTTTATAAAAGTCCTTTCAGGATTTATTGAATCATTTCAAGATTTATTGAAGTTCTTTCAGGAATTATGGAAATTTTTTCAGGTTTTATAAAAGTAATTTCAAGATTTATTGAATTCTTTCAGGATCTATTGAATTCTTTCAGGATCTACTGAATTCTTTCAGAATTTATTGAATTCTTTCAGAATTTATAAAAGTCATTTCAGGATCTATTGAATTCTTTTGGGACTTACTGAATTCTTTCAGGATTCATTGAATTCTTTCAGGATTTATTGAATTCTTTCAGGATTTACCAAAGTCCTTTCTCTTTCAGGATCTATTGAGTCCTTTCAGGATTTATTGAATTATTTCAGGATTTATTGAATTATTTCAGGATTCATTGAATTATTTCAGGATTCATTGGATTCTTTCAGGATTCATTGGATTCTTTCAGGATCTATTGAATTCTTTCAGGACCTATTCAATTCTTTCAGGATCTGTTCAATCCTTTCAGGATGCACCGAAGTCCTTGCAGCATTCCTCCCTCTGCTGCTCTCCCTGCTCCCTTCCCGTGTCCCGCGCTCATCCGGCCGTTCCCTCCCTGCCTCTCCTGTGCACCTCGTCATTGCAGCCCTCCCTGTTCCGGGCGATCTCGATGGCCAGGAACTGGATCCTGGTGGCTGCAAAAAGCGGGACAGGGATCAGCTGCGGCTGCGGGGTCCCCCCCGGCCCCCCGCCCCCCAAACCCACCGAAAATGGTGTTTTCCTCCGAGTACTCCCCGCGGCAGTCCAGGCGCAGCAGCGTGCCGAAGTTGAAATCCTCCACCACGCCCTCGAAGGCCAGGCAGAACGGGCGCCACTTCTGGGGGGACAAAAAACACCCTCAGCGCCCCAAAATCCCAATAAAACCGCCCCAAATCTCACACACGGCCTCGGCCCCCATGGTTGAAATCCTTCACCGTGCCCTCCAAGCTGAGGCAGAACGGGTGCCACTTCTGGGGGGACAAAAAGACCCTCAGTGCCCCAAAATCCCAATAAAAGGGGGAAATCCCACTAAAAAGGGGGAAAATCCCACTAAAAAGGGAGGAAACCCCACTAAAAAGGGAGGAAATCCCACTAAAAGGGGGGAAATCCCACTAAAAAGGGAGGAAACCCCACTAAAAAGGAGGGAAACCCCACTAAAAAGGGGGAAATCCCACTAAAAAGGGAGGAAACCCCACTAAAAAGGGAGGAAATCCCACTAAAAAGGGGGAAATCCCACTAAAAAGGGAGGAAATCCCACTAAAAAGGGAGGAAATCCCGCTAAAAAGGGGGAAATCCCACTAAAAAGGGGGGAAATCCCACTAAAAAGGGGGAAATCCCACTAAAAAGGGAGGAAACCCCACTAAAAAGGGAGGAAATCCCACTAAAAAGGGGGAAATCCCA